AGTGGAAGACCAATTTCACCCACATTATTCAATTATTTGAATATAAAAAGAATAAGATCACGATTTAACAAATTAAAATAATCTTTCATGAACTCTTTCATGAATAACATATTAAACAAAAATAAAAGTTATAAATCAGTGGTAATGGCTTATTCTGGAATATATGACCTCTGCGCATCATCAGTACCTGACTTGGTACAGTATAGTTACTACTTGGATACAGAGTTAGATTTATTAATGTAACGATAAGAACAATATATATTATAATAAACTTCTCTGCACATTTCAGACGCTTGTTACCATGAACTAACACTACTTAACAATGTGCTGAGCACTTATCACAGAGTCTGTGTGCGATGCCATTGTTGTGCTGTGATTGGCTAGTTGAGTCACGTGTAGCCCTACTGTTGCGCCCTCGCGAATCGCGTGAAGGCTGCGCATTTCTGACCATGGTGAAAAGTAGTGTATTGTAAAAGAAGAAAATAATGCTTTAGATAGAACCAGCATGAGGTAGAACCGTGGGTAAAGTTAAAAAATCGATACACACGTAACATATCCTTAGGCCTATTATAAAAGAGAAAAACTATTTTGGAATAAAACATAACTGTTGCGGATCCCATGCCAAACGAACACAAACAACGGGGAAATGTTCACACCTTTATTCACGCACACACTGACATGGACATGGTGAAACTAAAATAACAAAATAATGAAATATAAACACCAAACTGATAATATAGAAATACACAAATATAATATAAACTGAATACAAATATAAAAAGAAATAATGAATTAATTATAAGAAACGGGAAATGTTGTGCATATTATAAATTTGGCTAGACAAAACGACCTATGCTTTTACACATACATTGTGCAAATAGTTAACAATATACGTACAGAGAAATGTGGCTTTTCCCGTCCGATGGTAATCCACAGATTTTGCCGAAGTAACTACACAAAATCTTGATACTTGGCGACCTGAGCCTTCTGCTCGTCAAATACAAACGTGGCTGCGCCCAGAACTACTGCTGACCGTATATATACTGACCAAATCATTTGCATAACAAAACAAAGATGACTAGTAATACGACCGTAATCGCAACTTGTTGTCGTAAGCGACAACAATAACATTTATAACAAAAGGGAACACTTGGCCTAGTTTTTTGTCTACAAACAGCAGCACTTCTTTTAATGCAAGCGATTTTGCTACCTTGTTATTATATAACAGATATACACTCCAGTGATTCCAAAGCCCTGTCGCCCACAGGCGCAAATTTTCCTGTCTAGTTCACCTGTGCCATGGGCGGAGCATATGAGCGAATCCAGGTGGATGACATAGGTACTTTTACTGTCTTTTGGATTTTCTCAACTTTATTTTGGTAACCGGACAGGGATACTGCCCAACCAAGAACTATATGACAATTTTCAGCCTTACTTAGTGGAAGCATATCAAGATTTTTCTGAGTATTTCTGACCGATTTCTGGAGACCGTGTGAACCTCCTCGGACCCAACATTGGGGACCTGGACATATTGGAGAGCAATGGTATTCTCTGGTCTGTACAGGGGTCGGGTCGTGCTTGGAATATCTATTCCTTTATTCGTGCTCTCTGCAGGAATTGAAACATCTTGGGGGACAATGATCTTGTGCTTTCAGCAGGATGAAGATTTCCCGGCGGCGTCTCTTGCAGAGCTAGGTAAGAATCTTCTTCTGCGTGTACCTAAAGACTGCCTTTCATACATATTCAAATATGATGTATGCTTTTCTAAAGATAATATCACTATCAGTTTCTTACATAGCTGAAATAAAATCAACATGCCAGAAAGTAACCAATATTATTCTCTCGATCAGCCAAAAAAGTTTTAAAACTGCACTTTCTCCCAATTTCTTGTCGTAATCTTGACCTATTTGTACCTCCCTATATTTTGTAATGAAATGAAATAAAGAAACGAATGGAAATAAAGAACGAAACCCTATGGTATTTCTTTTGAAAATACCTGTACTATTTGAAATTGTATGCAGGCATCTGTTCGGGTTAGATTGCAATAATTCGACATATCTACTCGCTTCATTTGTATTTTCAACCTAATACAAACTGGCACAGCAACATTTGTGGAAGTTAACATCTTACAAAATTTAACTTTGTCATTTTCTTTATCATTGTTGAAGTTGGTAAAGTTGATTTCGGCACGAAAAAATAGTAAAGCCCTTTACTACTTATAATTTTGAAACTTCGTCGTAAAACTTTGCTCATCTTCAACATGACTTCTGTACAGATTTTTTTTAGAAATTCCAAGCCACGTGTTTATAAAATTCACTGTTGTGATGTAATGATGTAATAAGCCACGTGATGTAGGTCAGAGGTCATGAGTGTGAAGCGGGAAGTGGGGATGCGACGTGGCATGTGAGACATGGACTTTTAATTCTGTAATAAATATTTTAATCTTTTATATAAATTGTTGTTACAATACCATATCTGGCGACAAGGATGGAACAGTCTCACAAGGGAAGAAAGTAACAAGTAAGAATCTATATAAACATTGACTATAGCGAAATTGAATGAGCGCAGTGTAACTCGTTGAACAGTCACAATGGCGAGCCCATCTATACAGATACCTACTTATCATGAATTTGACTGTAAGTCAGAAGGCGTTGCCATTAGATGGAGAAAATGGATAAACAGATTGAAAAACAATGTATTTGTTGGTTATGGTATAACAAGTCCGAAAAAGAAGAAGGCACTCATGCTATCTTTCGCCGGCGACGAGTTAAATGACATCGTCGAATCTTTCAGCACATTTCAACTAACCCCCGGAGAAGGAGAAGACGAGTTTACGAAATGTGTTGATGCTATCACTGACTATTTTTCACCTTCCATCAATGTTGAATTGNACAGTCTAATTAACGGTAAAAGGTCCTTTTATACCGAACTCACGCAGGCTGCACCCGCACGAAAATGCATTATTATCGAAGTAGCAAAAAAAGCATTAACGCAGTAGTGGTGTGGAGCATATTTGCAGTAGAAATGCAGTATAGCCTACTGCAATTCTACTCCAAAAAGTACATAGGTTTGTACAGAGAGGAGCATTAATGCAGTAGATTAGCAGCATGATAGAAGCATGTTTCAAATATGCTAATTAGCTCCCAAATTGAAGCAGATTTGAAGCATGTTTGCAGTTTGATTGCAGTAGTCTACTGCGGTTTGCAGTATGATTGCAGTAGTCTACTGCGCTGGAGTATCTACTGCGTTTTCTTGCGGCTGCACATGATGACTGTTGTAATTATAAGATATAGACACATGTTTATAATACAGGCTGGTATTTCCAGCAATATTATTATTATTATTATTATTATTATTATTATTATTATTAAATTTTCATATGTGCTACATGTTGTCACTTTGCCTTATAAGAGCTGTCTCACTTTTAATCAAACGAATTTCCAGTTTTCCTATTCTATTCAATTTGATTTCCAAATGTTTAGAATTAGGATGTTTTACGATACAAGAGTGTGTCAATATTGAAAAAAAAAGTGTAATTAATATTTTATTTACTGTGGTCCCTGACAATGTACATCGTTTGTTTTTGCAAGTGTGTTTTTATTGAACACCCTATTATACTTCAGGTTATATTCGTGACGTCACAGGAAGTTACTTCGCAGTGTTTCTGGCTATTGCGTCATGCTTCGGTGTGTTCGTCCTAGCATCGGGTGCTATTATATTCATCAACAAATGGAGGAACTTGCGAAGTTTAGAAGTTATGAGGAACAGTATCAATCCTGAGTAAATACTACACAATCAAACGCATTATTATTGTCTTGGTATTCGGACTGAGGCATTCAAAAAAAAAAAAAAAAAAAGAACGATGACAGAAATGAACATGCAGACAACCGCTACAGTTTTACATAAATATGAACAGTAATTTGATAGAAATTTAAAAGAGTGCCTTGTAATAGAGGAACATATTTCATTAAAAAAAACCAACAAGTACGAATACAAACTTGAAATTAACATTGAGGGATGTGAACAACATAAAACCGTCACTTAAGTTTCAAAATATTCATGCGATTTAGTACAGTTCAAGTATATAATTTCACCCAGAACAGCATATTTATTTAGCTAGGGGCTTACAGAAACATAAACTTTGGGTAATGTATACGAAGTGCAGGTTATGCCTGTTGTATCGAGCTGAATTGGATTGCGCTATATATGCTTATCCATAGCAATTACGGTGGATCTTCCATTATGCTAAGGGGGGTTACTATAATTCTTAAGGCATATGGGTAACACTGACCGCCTTTGTCTCGTTCTTTTAGTCATACAGTTTAATGGGAGTGGGAGGGAGGGAGGAGTTAACCCATAAGGCGCACTCGGCCAACTTCCCTTCTCCCTTTATCCACCATCAGCAATGTTATTTCTACTGAGAGCAACGAACGGTGATTTTCACAGCGTCTTGGTGTTTGGCCTTCTTCATCAATTGATGATCATAATCTATAGTCTTCCCATCATGTTTGGATTTCATATCGACCTCCAAGTGTTGTCCCTTTTTTCATGACATCCACAATGGTTGTTTTTTCAATTCCAGCAAACACCTTAAGGGTAGAAAAGAAAACCAAAGATATGTTAATATTTGGATTAAACAAATGAACTTGTATAAATAAAGGCACTTCCTTGTTTGCTTTTAAAGATGATAATTGGTGTCTCCGCGCTCGATCAGAAAAATCCATTTTTTTCCTAGAGCAGGAAGTGAAATGTATTTGTTTTCAAATTGTTACCTATAAATAGACCGTTCCAACTCTATTAATGTCTTGTCTTCCACATTTTTCCCGGTTTATTCTGTGATCTTGTGTGGATAATATTTCATTCTATAGACGTTTCGCTTTTTTAATTAAAAAAATATTCCTTTCCTTTTAGTACAAAATTGACAGTAGATCAATAGCTCAACTGGCCTGAAAACTCGAGTATAAGATAAAGCAGTTTTGTGGCGTTGCCGTCATAAGTAGTGTGACGCTGCGGCTTACTTCTCGCTTTTTGCAACCAACTACACCAATGATACTAAAATGTCTACGTTGCAAATAAGAAAGAAAGACTAGAGAAATACGTTTTGTGAAATAATCCGCAAACAGAAAATGCAACTGCATATAAACTATTACGTTTTACTAATTTCACTCTGCCTTGCATTTTATCCGGATCACGGAGTTGCGGTTGCAGATGCAACATACTGGCGAAAACCTGGCGTTAGACTGGTGAACGGCGCTGGTGGCGGGAAACAGCACAAAGTGCACACTGTGGGGGGTTGCACTCTCCTCTGCCTTGGCCTCACGCCTGCCTCCTGTAGATCCGTGAACTACCACAGCGGGAGCAAGACGTGTGAAGTGAACGACAAGGCTGACGGCGATTTTGATGGTGTAGGTCTCGTTGCGGACGATGCCTGGGACTATCTATATACTGAACTGGGTAGGTCTAAATGCTTATATACGTGGTTGTTTTATTTACTGTGGGCACCACATAATTCGGGCACTTGGATCTGCTTGGGGAAGGTGTACATTTGAGTCGAGTAATACTCATAGTTTTATTTTTCAGCGAAGAGGTAATTAACGTAAGTTCATTGAAAAGGTGACGCATTATGCGAGGTTTACTGTACTTGTATGTACTATACCATATATATATATACCATACCATATACCATATATACCATACCATATACCATATATATACCATATATATATTTTTTTTCATTTTTGAAATTTTCTCTCTGGTTGATATGGAAATTTGGTAACGTCAAAAATTGGAGGTCTTCATATCTTCACAGTATTTTTATTGCTTCTTTTGAAAAAAATAATGTGTATTAGGAGATTAAAATTAACCGTAAGGTGATTACATTATTATAATTTTCCATTTTATCACTTTTAATTTTGGGGAAGAGGGTTGGAGCTGGGAAGGAATGTTTCAAAGAAACCAATACTTTTTGCAGCCCCACTAGCTTCATGTTCAGCATGGCAACAGATTAGCAGCACGAGCGGCATATATCCAGTTGATCCAGACGGCGCCGGGGCTGTGAGCGTCTTCAATGTGCATTGTAATATGTCCTCGTCTCCAGCCACGGCGATTTTCCACCACGATCAGGAGTCAAGGACACATGTTGACGGCTATAAAGACCCTCAGTCCTACTCCATTTCACTGTCATATGGACGTGAGTATAGTCTGTGTTATATCGGTGTGACAGGAATGGTAGTCCTGGGAAGGGAAATCCGGGGTACCATATGATTAGTACGGGCTAGAGCAGGGGCGGATCTAGAGATAGTCTTCCAAATTATCTTTGTTGATCCATCCTCCATTTTTGACCGTCTTCCGACAAAAAAAATTAAATACACGTCAATGTAAACTTGAAAATCTGACCGTCTTCCGGAAGACCCAGAAGACGGCCTAAATCAGCCCCTGTAGAGTGCGTCGGACTATTGAAGTTAGCATACGGGACGAATGTCACCTGGCCCTGTACAAAGTACTGAGGAACGGACTACGGTGTAACAGGAATGGTAGTCGACTATAGTAGAGACCGTGTGGAGAACGAATTTTGGTCCATCTTCACAAATGAGCATCGATAGAAAAGGCTGCCATATCTGAAGTTAATTAAATTTGATATATGAAAAATTTTTACTGACAAATGGTGACAAACCCCCAGCTTTGAAGGGCATGAGCGTGCGTTGGCATTTTTTTCTCCAAGCTGTCGCAAGCCCAGTGAAATAGGTGCTATATAGCCAAGTTGCGTACAGTCAAACTTTTCAATCAGCTATTCCATTAATGCTCACGTATTGGAAGGATATTATACTGAAATATGAATTGAAGGCAGGAGGCGCGCATGTACTGTAGTCGTATGTCAAGGATGTTAATTTTACTTTTTGGAATCTAGATTTTGCAGTAATATTAAAATATTCTACATAGTAATGAATTTGGAAGTTAATTTTCAGTTTCTTAGATTTTTTCTATTTACATGATTGTATAAAACAATGCTTGATGGAAACCGTATTCATCAAAACCAACTTAATGTGTGTTGAAAGTTAATTTTTTCGAAAATTATCTGTACGTGTACCCTGGTGCCTTTTTACTCTGATCACAGCTTACTTCAAGGATGCAACGGAGATGTAGCTTCCTTGCCAGCAGTCGAAAATTGGCTCAAATGCAAACAAGTTTTTTCCTTTTGCTTTTGTTTGTTTTTGTTTCAAGTGTTGTATAGTGCACTTGTAGGGTATAATTAATACAGAGAAATACGTGTACGAGAAGTTTTCTGTTCTAGAAAATCTGAAATATTTATCTGATATATATACAGTCTGTAGGGAGAAAATTACCAAGTAATGTAAATGAGACAAGGGTCAAATGGATATACATGCATATATGTATATCGGTATTGGATACGTTGAACATAACTTTTTTCAGAAAGCATGGAGCAAATAGCTGCGTATCTGGACAGGGACGGAATCAATTGTTCCCAGTACATGAAATACGAATGCAAGGGCTCCGTCATCTTGAAAAGTGATACTATCTACAGTGCATGGTATGACCGGCGTGGACAGCAGGCGCCATTTTGGGCTGGAGGAGATCCCAGCGGCGCCATGGGCAACTGCGCGTGCTCACGAGATGCAACTTGTGAAGATGCAGACATGAGTGAGCTCATTTATTAAATTGTAATATTGGGACTGTACGTGTCAGAAGGTTTTTTACAGTAAGAAATAAATTTAGTAAAACCGAGTTGAAGTTCATAAAGTACATTTCATTAATTGAAAAATTGCACGTTTCGGTTTCTGAGAAAACACCACTATACGTGTATGGATACCTTGAAGTAAAGTTAGTGCTTAACAAAATCTATGATTATTTTGTATAACTTATGGATATATTATGTTCTGGTTCAATGTTACACACACGCCGTTGTTATTTTTATCACCATGCGGTCATTTAATTACTGCAGACTTTTGGAATGCATACACGTATCAGAAGACCTGCCTTCATATTTTGATTGAAAGTATTGTGGCGGGTCACCGCCTCTGCCGTAGTCAAATGTGTGATTATGGGTCTGTTTATAACAGAGGTGTTTATATAAAACCCCATGAAAGAAATCTCTGCCTTGGATATTGCCACTTACCTAGAAATAACCCCCCCCCCCAAAAAAAAAAAAAAAGTGCTACGTGTGACATCTCGAGAATTAAAGTAGAGTCAAATAATTGTATTTCAGACTGCAACTGCGACATAGAGGACAACGAGTGGCGATCAGACGAGGGCGTTATCACCGAGTCCAGTTACTTACCGATAACCAGGGTCACGTTTGGGGACACAGGTGGATCTGAAGAGGGCTACCACACCATCGGCCCTCTGGTCTGCGAAGGATAATTGGGATATAAGAGAAAAGACATTGTGATAAGACAGCCACTTGAAGGGATGTCTCTTCAGTAGGTTCAATATAGTGTAGAATTGGAAAAGAAAAGAATTGGAAAACTTATGACCACGATCGTCTGATAAGTCGAAAGGAATAACTGGCAACGTAATGTTTTCCCCGACGATAAGTTGTTGTCTGTCATTTTCTGAACTCCCTGTGTGTAAGCCACTGAGTGAATTGATGAGTGGTGGATTAATATTCATTCGAAATCAATATTTAGAATAGAATATGTCTCCTAATCGTTTATACGTACTTTTCGAGCATTGTTATTTATTTCAAATGTGCATTGACAATGCCCTCGCCTACCGGTTGATAAAGGGCGCCAGCCTGACGATTTGGAAAATATAAAGCTACTAGTAAAACTTATAGAAATGTGTTTGTTTACTACCTACCCTGTACTAACACTGAAACATACAGTGAAGACAAGTTGTTTAGCATTCTGTATTAGATACCCAGTGGTTTATACATTAAACCTCTGTCACACTGAACTTGACACATTTGGGTTATAACTTTAGCAACTTCAGTCCCAAGTCCCTGTAGTTGGTTGGTGTTGTGGACATCGTCAAGTCTCATCTAACGCAATCCCGCACGCGTGGCATGGCGTGATTTGAGTTGATTTGGTCTACCCACGGAATTATTGCTTAACACCTTTCATAAGGAATCCCAATTCGTGCAGCACTATTAAATCTAAATCTCTGTTTCTCCCCGTATCAGAAATGACGACAAAATTCTGCATCTATCATACTTTAAAATGATTATGTAAAACTGTCAATAAGTAAATGGTGTTAGCTAAAGACGTGCATTTTATTATCCACTCTACTCGACAACCATACCTGTCAACTGCTTTCCTAGTGGATGTGGATCTAACTACAGTTCTATTATAATGGTGTGTGGAATAAAAAATAATTCTTTTGATGTATAGATGAAACAGAACATACCTGTATTTACACTAGACAAGTTTAACGTGCGGGCGCCGTGCCCAGTAAACAGCGATCTTTCCTTCCTGAACACAAAGGATATCAGGGGAAAGTATTGAAAATAAAATGTCAAATTCAGGGTTGGGATAGGAAAAGAAGGTTTTAGGTTGGTTCCAAATGTGTTATCTTTTCTTTCTTTCTTTCCCCTTTTCTTTTTTTTTTTTTTCTTTTTTTTTTTTTTTTTTTTGTTGCTAATTGTCAAAATTTTATTTAATTAGTTTTCAACACCAGTCAGCTGTTCTTGATGTCCTGCGTATCTGTTTAGGCATATACATGGAAGTTTTTGAAAATTATTTACATTATCCTGACAACTTGCATCTTTACCCTGCCTTGAGCTGAGACTTAAAACTATAGTTACCTGATCAAGTTCCTGATCTGCAGTTTTGTTTGTTTTGGCATATCCAGCGCATCTTTTATTTAAAGCTCATATATTCTTACTTCTAAACCACATTTTGTAATTTTTCCTTTAATTTTTCTGGATAATGTTCTGTAGTATTCGTTTTTATATATGGAGGGTAAGTATTGAGGGAGATGGTAGCCATTCACCGAACATTTTGTTGCTTCGTTTATATTGAGGGTGAGAGAACAATCAAACAAAGTCAAAGGTACTTTGTCCAGTACAATTACCCTCAATTTATTAAAGGAAAAAAATCCGGCAATTGTCCGAATATACTATAATCTGATTATTTGAATCCAAAAAATGGATAATACCAAGATGATACGAGGCACCGGAGGCAAAATGAAATAAAATATGAAATGAAATAAATAGAATTTTGAAATCCGAAATATATTCCATTTCAGATCAGGGTCAAATTCACCATCATCAATTTTGCCGTCCTTGTTTTCATCCTTAGCTTCAAAGTGCACTTCACCATCTTCACCTCTCCTCTCCACGGGTTCCGTAAACTCAATTTTAGATACGAATGCTAATAGAAAAAAAAATAAATGTAAGTCTATACATAATATTTTGAAAACATTTAGTGAAATAATTCAAAAATTATCCAAGTTTCCATGAATGGTAGAATTATATAGGCAATTGCTATACAAATTTAATGACCACCAGGAATTTTCGTTTACAACCTTATGTACTGAAAACCTTTACATATCTCCATACTTCATACGCATTTCCTTTATTATGCCAGAATATTGAACGTGTATATTTATCTTGAAAAATGATCTAAAATCTACATTATGAGAAACATATCTCACCCTTCTGAATCAATCTCTTTAAAATCATCTTTTGCATTAGAGCCGGTAGCAGGGTCAGGGAGGTCTCTTTTTCTATTTTGACATGTGCATCCTGTAGTTACAGCCCTGGCAAGAAAGTCAACGTGATTTCTTTAAGTCAGTATTTATTCTAGGATGGCCTATGAAAAAGTTCTTTGAACTTATTGCACTAAAATCTTGACTTTGGGGCATATTTTACTGGACTACCCCCAACAACACTTTACATTTTTTTTTTCAAAAATGAAATAAATAAATAAACAAACATATAATAAAATAAATAAACAAATGAATACGAAGCCGGAGGAGGAGAACTAATACCATATGGTGACATTTACCTGTTTGTCCTTCCCTAAATTTGCAAGTGATATAACCCTTTTATACATTTAAAACTAAATTACCAGAAACAGATCACAAAATGGTTATATCCATTGCGTAGCAAAGTTGTATTTTTAAAACTTGTTTCACTGATATACAGACTTGATATTTAATATTGCATATTTCAGTTTCAATAAAGCTCAGTTTTAGTAAAATGCGTTCTTTTTCAAAAACTCAGATCTCAAGTAAGATATGTGTAGTCAGTGGTGTGTCGCTACCAATTAACTGACTACCATGCCTGTTGCACCGCTGAATTGTGTAATATGCAGTGATTTAATTGGGTAGTGTTCCTTTGGGCTTGTAAGAGCTTGGCTTTGGTGAAGCATGGTTCTGTCAAAAATAAAAAAAAAAAAAAAAAAGGAAAGAAAAAGTATCCATATGTCGGCAACTACTGCACAGAAGAATTTGAAATTCTGCATGCAAGCAGTCGGTTTTGTGTAAAATGAGTTGCGCAGTATTTTACTAAATTCCTAATCTGTACCAGAATGGCGCGAAAAAGACAGACATTGCCTGACAAATAACATGTATCACACGGAACGATCCACAGAGTTTTATAATGTTATGCCCAGACTGATGTACCTGCACAGAGGCCACGCCCAATGTATCGAAATCATACCATCAGGGTACAGGACACTGTCCTTCGGATATGCTGCTGCAACTAAACAAAAACACACAGACCATTCAGAATAAGGGTCAAATTGCCACCGGAACACATTTTTCAAGGCCCTTAACCAACACCAAACTGGTTTTGATATCAGGTTTGAATACCTCTGAAGAAGCCACTGTTAACAGCATTTAGTATTTTGAGTGGATGGTAGTCATCGATGAAAACCTGAACCACATCAAATAAAGGAATAATCTGAAAACCACTTGACTATCATTTGATAGGGGAGCCCTGAGTGGCAGGGCATTATAAAGCTAGCTTGCTTACTATAACTTTTTATGTGGTAGCTTTACAGTGCTGAAATGGGTTATATATGAAATCAAGATAGAACTTGCAATTCTGAAATCTAGAACCTAGGGTAGATAGGGGACACCTTAGGAACAATTATGTTGCACGATGCGATTGGCAGTTCACACAGAGCACATTTAATAGCAGATAACTTACAGAACCAAGGGAATGAGCAGTTCCTTTGGTCGTATTTGAATCACACAGAAAATACGTGGGTAGGTCATTACTCGCCGAGTCAACGGCTTACACGTCCTACAACAAAACAGAACCACATTGGGCAACTTATACCTGGAATGTTACTTAGTTTAAACTCTAAAACCTTATCCGAAGGAATGCCTTGCCGCTTGAGAGTCCTGGCATCAACCACATAAGGTCAGGCGTTACAGCAACCGTTTCTTTAACTCGAAACTGACATGAGGGTCCTTTGTAGGGCGTGCAACTCTCTTACAGATAATTATTTGGAAAATATGGAGATCCAAAATATCCCTTTGATGGTTGTCGTATTACAATGTATTGCTTCACTCGCGATTTAATTGAATGACCTAATGTTATTATGACATCACATATTATTAAAAGATCCCAAAACACGATTTTAATCCTTAAAGAAACTGATGAATAATGATCTGGAAAACAATATTCCTGTTAAATGTCAAGTCTTTAGTACAGTGTGTTCAGTGTAGTCTAAGAATATATTGTACAGCCGTATGCACCTTGATACCGATGTATATTTGAATCACTTTAATTGTGGCATTCGCATGCAAACTATTGTTCACTGTGAGCTGGGCAAATTGGTCACTGAGTATACCCTCGACAAGGTCAACATATGTTTTTTTTTACTTAGTATTTACAGATATGCATCTTAATGAATTTGTACATCTTTTTTCTTGTGTCCAGCTAGGATTTTTGCATGGAATTAATAATATGACCACTCGGCTGGCCTTTAACGTATAATAGTCACTAAGAGGAATAGTAGTGGTGACTGATTTTGTAGTGTTTTTATTTTTTATTTTTGCCTGATAGACACGGAAATGTCATCATATCCGTGTAGAATGACGAAGCTGTTGCCCTCTGACATCGAGTGGCTGCATTGTTGGCCTCGTTAGCCTCGTCTATATGGTCGCTCTTGATTATAAAAATCGATATTGACCAGGTGGGCTGGTATTTGAATGATTCGAAATGACTGACCGGGATATTTATTACATCTTGTCCACGTCCTCTGCCCCCCCCCCCCTTAATTATCCTCTTCTACGACCCATGCCATGACTTCTTCGTCTCATCTGACAAATTTTAAATAGTAGAAGAAATCATGGTTTGAAATACATGTCTATATGCAAAGAAAAATCAACTACTTAACTTACGAAATTATTGGGTTGCAGCTGTCTACGCATCCTCCCTGGCATGCACAGCCAAATATATTGCAGCTCCCTTTGCCACAGTAAGTAAATAAGTAAGCCTGAAGTAGACGAACACCGATTGTATAAAAACGTGCCTTTGTTGTTTTTATTTTTCTACGCGACTACAAGAACCGGTACAAGCTAAACATTTCGTGCGATTCCCTACGGATATATGTCTTACACATTTCAAGTCCGGACTTGCAACTGTTAACCGCCAGTGGGTGGGGAATGCATGTGCATTTGGCCTTTCTTTGCTCATATTTACATTAAAGGTTATACAAATAAAATACACACCGTGTATACCTCAAATGTTTTGTATTCTTTCTGTAACTTGGTTTTATTTAAGTATTTTTTGTTATTGTACGTCAAGCTATATCATACCGTTAAGTTATTGAAGCGTAGCTGCCGTGTACCGCCGACATAATTTTACTCCCAAAATCGCAATCATGATGTCATCGGTAAATGGGAATGAAGAGCAATTTATGGTAAATGATAAGCTATTTAGTGAAGGTACACTAAAGACCCATCTATTATCCAAAACGTGCGTAAATACAGCAATTTAGCACTTTTTGCCCAACCCTGACCAGACCCTTAAAATACCAAATAAATACAAATAAACCTTACCCAGCTGCAGTCCGGACAATAACCATAAGTCGGATAGCAACAAACTGCCTGAGAGTCTTCTATTAACACAGTTACCAAGCACAATGCAGTAACAAAGTCTACAAACACTGCAGTGATTTTCTTCACCTTTTATAAAAATATAAAATGAAATGTAGAATATAATCAGCTCAACCAATTCCACATCGTGCGCTGTTCATCAGCATTATTACATACAAAAGCTGTTCCAGTAAACTTCACTATATGCATTTTCATTTAACCAAAAATAACATAAATACAAACGTTCTAAAACCCTTTACTTTAGGACTTCGTTGATTAAAGTTATCGGTTAGTTTTGATGGATATACTCACCATAATTCCTTGGAAGCCAAGCTGAGCGCAACAGTGGACTGTTCCCAATGCCGAATGGATAGAAACTGCTTCATAAAACTGTATGATACTACCATGATATTTCGATGACATCCCTGATTCATCAAAGGAGAAACACGCCATCATATCTTGATGACATCAATGAAAGATCAAAGAAGAAACAGATGGTGGTAGAACATTACGCTACTTCCAAAAATAATGCATCGTTATAATCTCTACACAACGGCAATTCTGTATACGGGTACTGCAACCGCTTTTAAAATAATGAATTTTCCTAAACCAATGGATCACTATAGCCATTTGAGATAGTACAAATGCTTTTGCAACTATCTTTTAGGTGTGAGACGTAGTGCTAGGTGGTAAATATGGAGATAAGTAAAATGTATTCATCACCATTATAGATAGGTGTGTGGTAAATTAAGAAACGTTGATTCAATGATGCATTGTAAAATATAGAGTAATATACATGTATGTATTTTGCTGATTCAGTAAGTCTTGATTTTATTTGTCAAACATCATTAGAAAGAACGCTTATATTCTAAAACCAAGTCACGCAGTCATAGATGTGCATACATGCACAGGATGGTTTATAAAAACAACGTGTTTTACTTTCCATCACAATTTTGATATAATTAAGATATTTTCAACTTTCTTTCACCAAATTGACCCATTAGGATGACCATTTTATCCTTTCAAATTATGCAGAAATTGGAAACCTTCAAGGTAGTCATATTTCAAACATCAACATCTCACGTAGCACGGACTTTCCTTGACCACCACTTCTCAACAGATCTCAATCCCCCAGATTTCTTCTTTGGGGCACATTAAGGAAAAAATATACGCTAACAAAGAGTCAAATTGTTTGTTGCCTGAGGTAAATACAGTGTATATTACTATGGTGATATAATGCGCGAATGAAAATGAATGCATAAGAGAGGTCTCCCACTTTTATTTCAGTTTGTTTTCAGTAGCAGAGTCCCAGTGGTATAGACGGTCTGCTTGCATGTGCTGGAGACTTCCAACAGGTGTCCCAAGTTTGTATCCACACATTAATTAATTAATCGATATATCGTGTAAATAAACACAAATCTGATAAATAAGACAGAGGTGCATGGGGGTAAATCAATATAAGAAATACATAAGATATAATTCATACATGCACGATGGAGATATTGACGACTTAACTGTCTGGCATGCTGTTTTAAGTCTAAGTTCATTGTCGTCCATGATAATAAATAGATCCTGAACTGGATAAGATAGTAGCTTGATTTTGATTTTTTTTTATTTGACCTCAATTTATTTATTTATTTATTTGGGTCAGATTAAGTTATCTACATCTGTGCCAAGTAGACGCTTTTCTTAACGGTGCAATAAAATGTATATTTTAGCAATAAAATTACTCAAATACATATAACAACCCCTGAGCGACGCTTTTAAAACATGAGATAACCGTTTTGAACTGTAAGCTGGGACTAGAACTGCTGGGAACAACCTGCTAACACGTGCCTGGTTGGTATCCTTGACCTCGATCACGAGCAAGTTGCCTGCTATTTGGGTTTACCTATGTGCATGTGTCAACCGAATGATTCGCAGTAGGCCCGGGGCATCAGGATACAGGGGGAAGTGTTGATGCAGTGGCTGCCTGGATTTCTGTCTTCAGGATAAAGAAAAAAGTATTCAAAGGGACTTTAATAGTAGTGTTATTGTTTCTAATCCGTTTAAGTCAACTGTGGATAGTCTGCAGTACTCAAATGCAATTCGACAAGAAAATCGGTACGGTATATCATCTTGGGTCGAATTAAAATCAGCTGATTGAAATGATATTCCTTGTATGTTTAATCGCGTGAAATTGATTTTTTGAACATGATATAGTGGTTTTGCTTAATAAAGAATATGCCTGTCGTAAAGCTTGTTTACTGTCTAGACACATACGGACGCTCCCGTTTTTCAGGTCAGGTAACGCGTGATGCAACGTTGATATATGGTTTGAATTTCATGTGTACAAGGATAAGTCAAAAGAAAAAAAATGGCGTAAAATGTTACATGAACCCATTTTATCCCATGAGATAATAATCTTACTCAAAACACAATATTTTTGATAAACAATATTAATTGAAAGAGAAAGTTTACTGACAACTTTAGTAATATTTCCTACATACATGGACCTGTAGTTTAATATCCAGCTGTAAACAAACGCAAGCAACCCCTTTAAGTTTAAAATGTCAATGGTTTTAAAATCAGGTCATTAGGCAGATAAAGTTTTTTTTTGTATTTAGGAAACATGGACATTATAAACGTATATGTCTGGCCTAATGTGCAGACTACATTGGTCGGCACAGTTGTATTCCTGTTGGTGATGACATATATCTACGACGGAAAAGATACAGACTGCCGCCAGGTCCTCCACAGCTACCAATATTGGGGAATTACTTTGGTGAGATCCAAATGGATTTTAAATCATCTTTTTTTCTTTATTGCTATTAATGCTTTCCGCTTATACCCAGACAGTGATCCAGTGGTTCCACTGATGTCTTTGTGATGTTGTATTTAAATTGTATAATAGTGTGTGTGTGTGTGTGTGTGTGTGTGTGTGTGTGTGTGTGTACGTTGATCCAGCCACGTCAAAACACCGTCATAATGTGACATTGACTCAACGTTGTATTTTGGCCATTGGCTCAACGTTGTTGTTTGGTCGTCCTGATGCAATGCATGGATTGTAATTTAAAATTAATTATCGAAAACGTGATACTTTATTTATCAATACTGTAACTAACTTTATCAAAATGGTAAAAACGGTGTGTGTGTGTGTGTGTGTGTGTGTGTGTGTGTGCTACTCTTTTGCATATAATGGTCACAAATCAACGTAAATGATAAATACTTTGGCAAATTGATATTTATGTATTGGACAAGTAATTTTATTTCAGCCTTTTCGAAAGATGCAAGACTGTTCACGGTTTTCGCAGAAATGGAAAAGAAATATGGAGAAATATTCACAGTAAATATAGGTAAGTCTTACTTTTAACCAAATTGCATAACAACAATTGTTGCGAAAATACACGGTCATAGAAACACAAGACTTAGCCGTGAACACGCATGGAAGGTACGATGTTAGGTACAGGGTAATAGGTGCTACTCTTGTGACCCGGTGCGACAGGAATGGTAGTCCGCTACATGTAGGAACCGTAGTCCGTTCCTCATTACTTCGAACAGGTGTTATTCGTCGCATCCCATATACTAACCCAAATACTCCAACTATAATCCTAACCTGTAATCATTATATGGGACCTAAGACTACCATTTCTGTCACACTGGTCATGCATAAAAAATCTGTGTTTTCTGCAGCAGTTATCTGCGAATGAATAACGCAAGAAGGACATAAATTAATGTTGTAAACGATATAAACATTGGAATTTTGATGGATTATCCGCAGGTTTTGGACATAACTGCATTGTGGTGAGCTCAGTTGATTTGGTGAATGAGTTATTGGTGGAAAAGTCAAAGGAATTTGCCGGCAGGGATACATCTCTTTGGTCGCGTATGTATGCTACATATTATGATCTCTGTTACTTAAAAAAAAAAAAAAACTACAAAACTTTGTGATTCCATTTAGCCGGGTCAGATATATTTAATGTATCTATTCATTTATTTCTTGGTAACAAAAATTAGGCTACTTGTTTCTCAGGAAACAGAGACATGCATGTATAAACGAATGAAGTTATCATCCAAAGACCAGGTATTAGCTCCGTATGCTGTAGAATATATTTCAAGACTTATAAATTACAAATATAAAATGCTTCCTTAATCTTAACCATTATGCAGGGAATTGATTTTTAAAGATGTATTTCCCCGTTGCAGTTTATCTAATATCCGGTGGATACAAGGATCTTTTATTTGATGATTATGGCCCCGTATGGACAGTACAGAAAAAGATGGCAGTGAAAGTCCTCAGGTAAACTGTTAGAATACACTTTATACATAAATACCATTTCCCGCTTTTTATACATTCTTAAGCGTCCATTATTCCAACAAAGCTCTGCGTCGAAGTTTTTCCTTTAACTCAGTGTCGCAAATTCTACTCATTAGCTGCTATGTAGACATGTGTCACGAAAAAAGTGTTACCAAATTGTTACCAATGCACAGACCCAAGGGTTGAATTCCGCCCACTCCTACAAACAAATCGTCTGAAATCCAAAAGACACACATTTACTCCAAAGGAAAAATATTTTTCACTGTAGGCCATACGTCTTTAGCGGCAACTTAGATTGTTTGGCGAAGTCGGCATTCGAGGAGGTTGCCCCTTTGTTAGCGAAACTGTCTGAACCCGAAGACGTCGATTTCTACATCAGTTTACTCATTTACAATATCATCTAAGATAAGATAAGATAAGATAAGATAAGATAAGATAAGATAAGATAAGAGTTTATTTAGCTAATTATAAAAATCAGAAATCATTTTCCATTGGAGCAATATACAGAGTAAAATAATAAAATAATACAATAAATAAATAAATTAAAAATTTAGCTTTGAGATCAAATTAAAATGCGTCACTGCACTTGGATAAAAGCTGTTTAATTATATAAAAAGCGTTTACTGCCTTTAAAAGTTAAAAGTCTACTGTTGCTTGGTAAAAAAAGTAAAAAGAGAGGATGCAGGATGGAAAGCGTCTTTCATGGTGTTGACAATTCTTTTCTCCATCCTGTCCTTAAAAATGTCATCCAGCTTGGGGAGATCTTGCCCGATAATCCTGCTTGCAGTTTTTACAACGTTTGCTAATTTCTTCCTTTCCTCCCCAGCTGTTCCGCTATACCATATTATAATTCCGTACGCTAGAATGCTTTCAATTACACACCTATAAAAATTGACTAAAATAGGCACACTATCAGTAAAAGTTCTCAATGATCTTAAAAAATACAGTCTTTGCCGTGCCTTCTTTACACTCTTTACGGTGTTATCTTTCCAATTCAATTTACTGTTAAGGTGTATACCAAGTAGTTTAAATTCCTCTACCCTACTGACTTCATTATTACCAATGGTGAGTGGTACCTTTACATTCTGATTCCTTCTAAAATCCACTATGTAGGATTGCTTTTGGCAAGAGGTAAGATACATCTACTAATTTCAACGTTAACTTTGTCCTTTGCTTACTTGTCCGTCATACTGACCATCTTATTTAAATTACCTGTAGACGCATGAACCTGGTATGTATGTACATGTATATACTATACCGGTACCCGGTGCACCCGGTATATATGCTGTATCTTGTATTAATCATACTTTACCTTCTTTTCTATTTTAGGTTGTGTTCAGAAGACCCGTCATATGCCGTCATATATCATCGTGCTAGGAGGGTCGATCTGTTTTAGCGGATATTCTCGAAAATGTGCAGTCAGTGTAATCAGCTTAATTGTCTGGCACGCCCCCTTGCAAGTTAAAGTACTTGCCTATCTGTTGAATGATAGGCGTAAATTACTTGTTTTTCACGTAATGGGCATTCATTCATGTACATGTAATATGTTGTGTTGCATAGATATTGTTTCCCAGTATAACTATCAATTAAAAACAATTCTTAAAAAGGGGCATCGTTTATCTTACCTTTAGTTATGAAATCGACGATCCAGAATTCGTGTGGCTAAGAGAAAAGTTTGCAGAAAATATGACCGTTTTATTTGGAAGTCGTCTGCCTGCTGACCTCATCCCATTTCTTAAGCACGTCCCTATTCCGTCAACCCTCAGAGCAAAGAAAATTTCCCGTGAGTTGCATGATTTTCATAGGCGAAAGTTAAAGGAACACAAAGCTACTCTCAATTCAGGTAGGGGTGGATTTCATTTGCTATTATTCATTTAGACATTCTGTTAATGCAATTTATTCACACATGCATGTTATTAAATGATGCATATCGATTTTCTTTTAAATTTTTGTATGTCAAAAAATGCATTACCAAAATATTTATACCGAATGTTGTTACGTGTATAATAAGCTATTTATTCTGATATTATATACCTGTCATTCTTTGCATAACATTAAACACAGATGAATAGATAAATGTAAACTTAGCCACTACCCTCAAGATGCTATGTATAATATGATATATATATATATATATATATATATATATATATATATATATATATATATATATATGTCTCTTATGATATTCACGGTGCTATATATAATATAATATAACTAGATATACTGGAGTCCTCACACTGTTAATCCTTCATAAGTAGAATACAGAACCCTGTAAATACTGAATATCTAACTGAAACATTCCATGCTGTTTACAGTTTGTTGCCATAGTTACCTGAGCTTCATCATCTTCGGAAGCCGTACTGTCCGCGATACTTTCTTTACTTCGAGATTTGAAAATCTTTGCCAGCCCAATGCTGAATTTCTTTTCTGTAAAATCAAAATTAATCAAACTTCATTATCAAAATAAACAGAGAAAGGTACATGGAAAACAATAGTGTGATAGTAAATAAACCTAAGGGTGTATATACTATATAGGTACCTGTTATAGAGGGTTAAAATTATCTTTTTAAATGTAAGCAATTTTTAACCTCATCTTGCATCAAGCTAATGTAAAGATTACTTAATAATCACATTACTCTAATTCAGTAATTTTAAATAATTATTCATGATCATTCATTTTTTTTTTATACCAAATTATATACACTATACCCTTCTTTTTTTTTTTTTTTTTTTTTTTTTGAGAAATTGCAGTGTGATTTTAATAAAAACTGGAATATTTTCTAGACAGTCCTTTTACTTAGCCATATTCTTAATACATCAAAAGTTAACTTTCAGACCAGTGTAGTAGCCCAGAGCTGGCTAACCTAACTGTGGACTGGGTGTGGGGCTTGTCTTGGCAGACCCTGGTGGACTAGAGCGAGGTGAAGACTGAGGACTTCCTTTAGGACTGGCCCTGGGACTAGCCCGGGGGCTGGGACGGGGACTCTTCTTTAATATCCCTCTCTGTGGTGCCTTGGTGTACTTGTGCGGTTTCAGCGTGTCTCCATTAGCTGTTTGTTCTGGTGGCTGGAATGATGGCAGAGATAATGTAGTAATATCATTTCACATATATTATCACACCATCTGGATTGGTCTAACTCCCTGGGAAGTCTCAATAAATTGCTATGAAATAACTGGCTTAAATGTCTGTCAGGCCCACCAAATAAGCTAGGGGGTAAAGATAATTACACCCTATCAGCTTTACTAGGCATGACAGGCATTCAAGCCAGTTAAGGGGATAGTAATGTAGTGAGACTACCCAGGGAGATAGATCAATCCAAATATCTGTGGGAATGGTCATTGTGATTATCATTCAAATCCACAAACACACACATTGTTTACCGTGGAGTCCAGCTTCAACTAGACCTGTCCACCACTGTCCACTTTGCTGGCGACAGGGGTCACCGTAAACCTGGCAGACGGCTGGCGGTGGACCTTCACGGCATTCAACATATCTCCACTGCAGGCCGCCATTGGTCGCGTCCCCTCGGTATCACCTTGGGACGTCCTCTTCTCCAGCTGTTCCTTGGCTCTCTTCCTCTCCTCCTCTTCCTGTTGCCGTTTATGTAATGCCTCTTCCACTGCTGCCAGGCGGCGCTGTCGTCCAAGCTGAGCCTCCAGTAGCAGTTCCAGCTCCAGTCTCTGTACAGACCCAAGGAGAATCATGGACTCTGGAAATATATACAACATAATGATTTGATTGTCTTCTGAATGGCATAGCATTATACTGTACACACTATATATTAGTGTCCTAAAACTTAAAAATTAATGTGTTTCAGTTTAAGCTGTTGGATGAAAAAGATCATTAGAATATCAAAGGAAAGTGCCAAAATGAAATACATCAATACAACCTGATAATATCATGTAAAACTGACATCCAAGAATATAACACTCAGTAAGAAGACTACATAACTGTGCATATAGTTCAGTTATTAAATCTCATGTCTTAGAATCTAGCAGAGTTCATGTTATGCCAGTGCTATGTTCAAGGTATAGCAGACAGGACAAATTAAGGGCAGACAGAAGAGCTTTCATACATATATTATGCTTTAAACTAAAAATGTGACTGGTTCAACTTCAACACTGCTTCCAAGAACCATGGTTCCATCCCTGGTTAAAAACATATTAGAGATTCCTGATTGGGATTTCAGGCACTTCTCCATTTGATTGGTAGGAAAGAATCAAAACTTAACCAGTGGTACCACATATGTCTGTGTACTTTACCTGGGGCATCCACCAATGGGAATGTCCTTAACTTGGATGTCTCCAATAGATTCTTCACATCCTGGTATGTGGCGATATAGCTGATAAACCTGATGTCACGGATCAAGAAGTCCTCCACAAACACATTGTAAGTGCTGCAAAGACACCAGACATTAAAAAAAATATATATATATATATATATATATATATATATATATATATCGGAGAATTAAGTCAATACACCATGAAAAAGTGCTCCACCCATGGCAGCTGCCCGTGGGGAGCTATATATATATCACATGAAGTCCTTCTCAAGTACATAATATGGACTGTAAGAAGGATATGATTACACATTTGACATGGATTACTGCACGTACAGAAAAATGTTTTGTACTGAAAGTATTACCTGGACTTGGTGGGGATGATATGACATATTACTTGGACTTGGTAGGGATGATATCACATATTGCCTGGACTTGGTGGGGATGATATCACATATTACCTGGACTTGGTGGGGATGATATCACA